GGGTCGTCCGATTATCGGCGCCTATATTAATAATTCCCTATTCGGAATCCATGAGTTTTATCACTGAGGTGAGAAGTATATTTATTTTTTACAGATGTCCATATGAGAAACAATTACCGTCTGAATCGGGCTATGACGTGACTGTGGTCAAGTGAACGTGTGTTCCTGCAGAACATTACTCTTACCTATTGGTTACCACTGAGTTTGTGATTTTATTCGTCTTTATCATCTTTATTATTATTTTAATTTTTAATGCAGAGATTTAAACTATATTCACTATATGCAATGCTTAACAAATTTATTAAAACAAATTTATGTAAGGTTTTTAACAAATTATGGTTTGTGCCACTGCTGCTCTAAACTAACAGTACTGGTGATTACCAAAATAATTTTTTAGCTTTCTGTATGGGTTAGTCCTCCAATATGCATAAGCTCTTGCTATAATATAATTATTGTTGTTATCTATGAAAGAAAGGCAGAGAGCTTTATAGTGTTTTTTTTTTTTCAGATACCCAATTACAGTCAAAAAGTACTTAAACAATGCCAGCAAGATCTCTACAGAGACTCTGGAGAATAGCAAGTACAGAAGAAAAGATGAAAATGAAAATAATCTGTCATCTTCCTTTGAGCCAAAACCAATTTCATTAATATTCAGAAAAGCTGTATACATAAACACAGTATTCCTGGCAAATAGCCATGCGTAATATTCACATGGAGGAAACTCTTCTGAAGATGTGGATTAGGAACTAGCTGTGGTAAAACTCATCTTCGTATAAGCATCCTGAATAGTTTTGTATTCAAATTGTTCCACCATGTCAATATAACATGTTAAATAGGCAGAAGTTCTGCTTACAGAATTGACTTTTTGGTTTCTCAGAATTATCATGAAAAAAATGTCACTACACAAAACCAATATTGTTTAATTTAATTATGAAAAGCCAAAATACTCTACAGTTTCTGAAATGCCACTAGCTACTTTTTCGACAAAATTTTGGTCAGATGATCCCAATTTCCCAGCATAAACTTGTTCAGCTTTGGTTCTGCCTCACCATAGCTATAACTCTTGCTAATTCCAGCTGGATTAAACAGAGCCTGAAATCCACCCAATTTAGCCCTGAAATATAGTTGCTTAATGGATGATAGCCGACATGGAAAATAACATCACTGAATTTTTTCGCCAAGATCTGAAAGAGAGAACAGCTGCTCTGAAAAAAAAATTGCTTTGCTATTCAAATTTCAAAGTGATCTTCCCTCTTATGAGAATTTGCAAGCTGGAAAATCAGCATTGATTATTAATTCAGCTACTATATGCTCACTTAAGGTGAGAAAAAAAGTGAAGCCTAACTGGTAATCTTTTGCTTATTTTATTTTTTACGCAGGGAAAAATAAAACAACAGGTTTGGGTGAATAAATTATGACTATTCCTTATTACTGTTCCATTTTAACATGTTGCACTGACTTCTAAGGATTACATTGTTGTTTCTCTCTTTTCACCTTGTGTTTTCAGGAAGAGGTTTGGTGTTTGATGTTCACTGTCACACATATCATGGATCCATAAAAATGACGAATTGCACTGAGCCTGATTCAACAGCAAGCAAGAGGAAAAAAGGTTGACAGTTTGTTTGAAATGGCACATTACAAAAACTATAGAAGGACCAGGTCCATATGCTAAACGGTGTAAACACAGAGCAATATTTGTAATTATTTTGCTTGGGAATAGTGACATAGCGGGCAAGAAATCTAGAGCATGGTGTGTTGCCATGTTTTCTTTCTTGCTTTTCTTTGAGGTCCTTGTCTCTGTGCCTTGATTGCAGTCAAGGAACTCAGAAAGGGCTGTGTGAGGAAGAACCGCTGGCCAACATCTGGAGGCGCATTTAATGATCATTAAAAGCGTGACGGGATATTTACTGAACTGAGAAAAAGAGTGGGAAGCTGCAGAGCTTTCGAAGGCACGGAATGGTTCGGTAATGAATGTCCATGCAAAGGTTTCAAACATGGAGACATTAAATTTAACAAGCCTTGTTTTCAGTTTATGTGTACCAGTAAACTTGCATCTAAATACGTCTGGTGTGGGTGGCTGTTTTGGTCTGCCTCATTGTCAGATTTAACCTAAGGTTCCCAGACTAAAAAATGCTCTAAACAGCAGGCTTGTGGTTTAGACACAACTTCTGTAAGCTATGTGTTTGGAATTGAAACCTAATTGCAATTAAAGCCTGTGTTTTTAACTTCTTTGGCCCCAGGTGAACCCAGCAGTATTGTTGCAGACGGCCACCCAATCAGAATAACCTTTTAAAGATCCTGTTTGCCCATCAGTTATTTTAATTTTATGATATTTATTGGATTGCCAAGTCCAAGACATGATTTTTATTAATGTATATTTTTTAAATCATTACCCAAAATTCAGACAATTTTTGGCAATTTTCTCTACTTTTCTTTGGTAGAGAATAAAATAACTGTTCTTAACTTTAACCATGATTTTTTTTTAGGTGTACACAAGAATGTGGAGGTCAAAGGTTAAAAGTTAAAGGATGTTTATTTGAACGGTCAAGCAAAAGCACACTTTTCCAATTTTGCACTTCCTCCTCATGCTTGATGCATATTGGCTTGCAAAGGTGAAGCATATGAGGCGTTTTACACATCAGCTAACATCTATTCCCAAAAGACTCAGTAACCGCTTCTTTCGTCTTCAGCTTGGCCTTTTTTTTATTAATTTTTTTTAATTAATAATAATAAATGAAAAAAATAAAATAAGAAAAAAACTTAAACAAATTACTAATAATTTATATGCATATTCTGGACTTGGTTTAATCAATTAGTTTTAATGTCAGTACTGAAGCAGTTGCAGGAATTTATGACATTGTGTGCATGTGACAACAATATCACAAATTCTCCACAAATATGGCTTGTATGGAAAGGCCACATGCAGTAATGACTGAACTTTGCCAAAACGCACCTTGAAGATTCTGAGGCAGATGAGACTTAAATTGAATTATTTGGCCTCAACACCAAACGATATGTCTGGCGGAAATCCAGTACAGCTCACCATCCAAATAACACTATTCCTACAGTAAAGCATGGATATGATGTCTGGCGGAAATCCAATACAGCTCACCATCCAAACAACAGCATTCCTCCAGTAAAGCATAGAGGTGGCAATATCCTGTTATGGGGTGTTTCTCTGCAGCAGGGACTGGAGCACTTGTCAGGATAGAAGGAAAATGGATGGGGCAAAATACCATCAAATTCTTGAGGAAAATCTCTTGCCCTCTGCCAGAAGGTTGTCAATGGGAAGAAGGTTTACCTTCCAACATGACAATGAATGACCCAAAGCACACAGCAAAACTGAGCACACAGTGGTTGAAGGAGAAAAAGGTGATTGTCCTTGCATGGCCTAGTTAGAGCCCAGACTTAAACCCCATTGGAAATCTGTGGAATGACTTGAAGACTGCAGTCCACAAATGGTCACCATCAAATTTAACTGAACTTAAGCAGTTCTGCAAAGAAGATTGGGCAAATATTGCAAAGTCTAGATGTGCAAAGTTAGTAGAGACAAATCCCAACAGACTAAAGGCTGTAATTAAAGCAAAAGGTGGTTCAACAAAATACTGACACATAGGGATGTTCCTTTTTCCAACTCAGTGATTCTGTTTTTTTATTTTTTATCTGATATGTTGGTGTTATATCGTTCACTTGGATGCTATAAGTTGCACGTTTACGTCCAAGTAAATACAGCTGGATAAAACAAAAAATGTTTCCTTCATTTCAGGCTACAAAGCAACAAAAGTGGGTATAGTAAAGAATGCCCCCCCCCCATTATTTTGTACAATTAATGAGATAGAATGCTTTCAGTCAGTTACAGTAGGAATGTGTTAACAACATTATCTAGCGCTAGTCACCAGAGCTCTGTCAAAATGATGCTTACATTCCTGAAGTAATACTGACACCACCTGGTCATACTGAGTACAGCAGAAAATCTCCATTAATCACAAAGCTACGTAATCACATTTAACCTTTGCAGAAATTATTATTTCTATTTGGATTGTATTTTGTGTGAAAATTTATGAAAACTGCTGTTTACTCCAAAGTAATGCCGCGACGCTACAGTAACCCTGAAGAATGTCACTTCGTCACTTCCGTTTGCAGAGAACGGAGCCGAGGGGATTTGCGTTACCGAGCGCCTAAAAGGATTGACAGAGGAGCCTGTGGAGATTATTTGCCCTACAGACATCCATTAAAAACACATTGCTTCATTAAGCCTTCCAATATAGTATTTATGTTGGTTTTAGACGACATGAGTTTGTTTTACTACGTGTATTAAGAATATAACCCAAAATTTAGGAATGGGACAAGTATCTATCTATCTATCTATCCTATTGAAAATTGCTTTATTGGCATGACTAAAAAAAATACAGAAACACACACAAATCGCATTTTAATCATGGAATAATCTTAAATGCGGTGCGGACGGTTCAGTACAGCGGTTGAGACGGCAAACACTATCTATCTATCTATCTATCTATCCTATTAAAAATTGCTTTATTGGCATGACTGTAAAAAAAATACAGTATTGCCAAAGCTGGGAATATATGTGGAGAAACATAATAACAATGAAAAGATCAAAATAATAGAAGAAAACATAAAAATTTAAACTTAAATAAACTGTGTAACAAATTAGAACATGTGTGAACACTTGATACTACAGTGTTTAATATATAAACACACACATGCTTAGGGTCACTGTGGTAGACATTAGGGAAACACTATCTATCTATCTAGTCTGTATATCTGGCTGGCTGTCATTTTATCTATCATTCTGTCTTGTTCTCATCTGCAATGTGTCTTTTCTTGTAGATATTCATCATGACAGATAGTATTTTGAGCAAAGCTGCCACTATGGAAATCCCCATCAGCAGTAATGGGGACAGCAGGATGGCGGAGGATGACAGTCTTGAGCAGGTGTGTATCCACTGCCCATCAAACCTAATGAGAAAAATGCACATCCTATTTTCAGGCCTGCCGCTCAGTTACGCCATGGACCAAACCTGAATGCAATGTGACGTCCTGTTCCTGTGGATATCGTGTGGCAGGCTTTGAGAGGCATTGAACAGTTAGCTTAATCACACATTAATGAGCTGTTGTAAATATAGACACTGTTAATTTAAGTCGTGCGGCTCGGTTGTTTTTGGTTATTTCAGCATATGTTTGTTTTCTCTACGTATCTGTCTCACCATCTTTTTTGACACTGTCTTCACACATTTTATGTTTCTTCATGTCACAGGGAGCACAGATTGGTGGGAGCTTAGATGAAATTGTAGGCACACTGCCAGTGACCATGGTGAGGGAGAGTTTGTGGGTGTCCCCGTATGTTGGAGCCCCATTCCCTTTGATTTTAGTGTGGTTGATGGTTTGCATAGTTGCACACATAATAGTCTTTGACTTATCATGGGGTTTGGGAAAAATGTTGATGTAGGATTTATTACAAACAGGAGCTGTTTATTGGACAGAAAAGTCAAGCAGAGACATGGAAAGCAGCCATGCAAATACAGTAGATTAGTTTGCATGTGTTTTATAGTGACTATTCCTAAAAGTTTCATTTGAACTAAGGATGTCTAGTTAATTGATAGATTTCTTAGCCAGCTTGTTGAATTGCCATAGTTTTAAAGGTTTTGAGTAGAAGGCAAGGCTTTAATATCGATAGAAGTCTGTATTTTTAAATAGAAATAAGCTTTTAGTCTAGTACAGGGCTCCTCAAATCTTGCCCTGGAGGGCCAATGCGCTGCAGAGTTTAGCTCCAACCCTGATCAAACTCACCTACCTGTGATTTTCTAATGAACCTGAAGACATTGACTAGCATGCTCAGGTGAGTTTGATAAGGATTAGAACTAAACTCTGCTGGAAAGTGAATCTTGCGGGCCAGATTTGAGGATCCCTGGTCTAGTATATAAACTATATATAAAGTTGTTGTTTTTGTTTTTTTTATAGAATTTTGTGTGCTTATTTCTTACTGTCATCATCCCAGTTTTGCTATTGTTAACTCAATCTAAAACTATTACAAATTAAGTTTGGAAATTGAAAAAGATAAATAAATTAAATAAAATATAAATATTAGATGAAAAAAAAGAAATATTAAATACCTGAAAGTAAGTTTAAGTTGAAATGCTGAAATTACTAAAAAAAATAAAAAATCTAATAAATTAAAGCTAATCAGGAATAAAAAAAATCACAGCAGCATATAAAAAAATGACAACGGAAAATTAAAATTAAAACAGAAAATACCAAAAAATTCCAATATATTAATAAAAAAAATTATATTATGATAGTGTATAAATAATACCAAAAAACACTGCTCCATCCGTTACTTTTGATACCCACATGTGTTTTTCCCCACCTAGTGTGCAGTTTGTGATAAATGTGTTTTTGTCTCTGTGCTATAGATTGTAATATTCTGTGATATTAAATTCCTCCATATTCAGGACTTGCAACAGGTGATGGTGTCTGGACCAAACCTGAATGAAACCAGCATTGTGTCTGGAGGCTACGGAGGTGCAGCAGAGGGCATCATACCCACCAGTTCCATCAAAGGTAAAGAGTACTTGAATAGCTCGAAATGGTATCCGATTCTGATCTGATTTGATGCAGCAGTCATGATTTGAAGTCTGGCACAGTTCAGCTTACATCTCTGCTGACGTATATGTTTAGGACCAGCTATACGTTTCAACCCGGAGTATTTTGACAGAAGATGTGGCAACGCGCCCAAACCAGGTGTCTGTATATATGCATGCTAACTTGACAGAAGATCTTATTTTAGAATCTTTGTCTCTACAGCTTCCTCTCTCTCCCCTGGTGTAAAATTGGTTTGTCAGCATTTAAACAGCAAAATGTTTGGCTTTTTTCTACAAGGTGCAGAGGACAGTCGCATGGTGGATGCACGTTTACATATGCAACATAAACCTCTTGTTTGTTTGTTTTAAATTTACTGTAAACATGTTTTTTTTACAAAAAAATTTTGTGAGCTGATATATTTGAATTGTGGAATGCACAATAAATCATTTAATGGTATTTCTTTATGCTCAATAACATGATTGGCCTTAACACATTAACACAGCACTAATAGACATGCCAGAATACGAACCTAACCGACACAGTCAGTGACGGTCCATGAGGAATTTTTAATTTTTATTATATAATTTTATTTATTATGTTGTGTCATTTGAATATCCATTCTGACTGGTCAATTTAATAGTCAGAGGAGCCTTTATGTTGTTACCATCCTCTGGCATTTGTAAAGTAATTAGAACAGATCAGTTGAAAGTAACTTAATAAATCGAAAATTGACAGCAAGAATTAGTTTTCATTTCATATTAATTAAATATAGTCTTATATATATATATCATATACTGCCATTCAAAAAATTTGTGGTCGGGATTTTTTTTTATATAAAATTGTATTTCAAATAAATGCAGTACTTTTGAACTTTCTTCTCAAAGATTCCTGAACTGTGTTTCCACAAAAAAATAATAAGTACAACTGTTTTTAACATTGATAATAAAAATAAAACTAAATGTTTTTTGAACATCGGTCAGCATATTAGAATGATTACTAATGGTAATGGATCATATAACATTGAAGACTGGAGTAATGACTGCTGAAAATTCAGCTTTGCATTTACAGGAATGAATTACATTTTAAAACATATTAAAACAGAAAAGAGTTATTTTAAAGTGTAATAATATTTAACAATAGAACTGTTTTTGCTGTATTTTTGATTAAATAAATGCAGCCTCAGTGAGCATAAAAAAAACTTATTTTAAAAACATTGAAAAAATCTTGACAACCCCAAACTTTTGAATGGTAGTTTGTATATATTGTATTCATTTTATTGGCACTTTTTTTTTTTAGCACATTTATTATGACCGTCACTGTACCTTTAACAGCCGCCTTGTTTTTCATTCATTTTCATCTACTACTTCCAACTTTTATCACCTTACCATTTTATAAAGATATAACTTTCATCTCTTTTGGTCACCTTGCTCTTACAAACCTCTGAACTTTTACTTTGAAGCATTTCACTGTTCATGTTTGATAGAACATCATAATTGTCATGCATACATCATAATTGCCAATAATATTATTTTGATACATTTTGATTATTCAGTCTATGAAATCATTATGCATTTGATTGTTTACTGTAATCCACTACAGAATAATCATTGTACCACCCAGTTCATGTGTGTTACTCATCCATATTACTATAAAACACTCAATGTTGCAATTTCCCTAAACGCCTTTCACTTGAACTAAACCTCCATCCCATTCCTTCACCCGTCCACTGTTATTCGTTCATTTCAGACATCCGCTCCAAATCCAGGGGCATCACTCCCAGCCATTCAGCCGCCAGTCGGATAGCAAACCAGCCAGGACATTACCCAGGTATCTCAGGGCCTCCTCACCCCCTCCTGTCACCGCCAGACACATTTTCAGCCCATAATCATCAGTCATTACTCATTTACTGACATCACACCTTTTATTCTCGTCCCTATTCATTTTTTAGTCTCAGGAATAAATTGATTCATTCTATGTAGAATTTTGAAGTCTCTAGTTTGAAAATGGTCAATTACATGAGGTGTCTATAAAAGTGAGTGCCGTGACCTTTATTGACACAACTGGGTTGTGATATTCAAAACCGTGTATATCCAGAATGTCCATTTTGAAATGGTATTGTGTATTTTGGTAGGGCCCCCTATTTATAATAAAAGTAACTACATTTTCTACTCTCAGCTCCCAGCATGCACCACAGCAACAGCAACCCATCCATGATGTCAGAGGAGGCCACAAAAGGAGTAGCTGTAGAGAAACTTGACAGCATGAAAAAGTGGAGCATTAACACGTACAAGGTACAGTAGTTTCATGTTTTTGAAAGAAGTCTCTTATGTTCACCCAGGCTGAATTTATTTATTCAAAAATACAGTAAAAACAATAATATTGTGGAATGTTATTACAATTTTAAATAACTGTTTTTTTTACTTTAAGAGTAACGCTGCCTGTTTCTAAGCATTTCAGGGGACCTTTAAGTGAACTTGAACAGTTGAGAGAAATGCAAATGTGTCAAAATATTTGATCTATGCGTCAGATCTTAAAGCAACAGCGTAAACCTGCAGCCGCCGACTGCGTCATAAATGTTAATCAAACAAAAGAAAAGGAGAAAACCACTCACTGCTCTTGACTGAATCACTTATTAACTTTAATAAGAATCATCTATATT